TTGCAACGCATTACCGTTGTGCGCGCTCTCTTATATTTTTCTCCATGAGAACGCGTGTCCATCGGACATTAAGGGCACGCATCGTGTTTTATATCGTTGTCTAACGATTTGCATGTTCGAACGAGCGGCCTCGGCTATTGCTTCTATTCCAGCATAGTGTTCGACTGTTCTCAACTCATTCCAATGCACTTAAAACATATAGTCCCCGCCGTTGAACGCGGACCCTCCCGCATTTCAATGCTACAGTCTCATTCACCAAATATTCTAATATAAATCCATTCGATTCGTAGACTTCACTAGGCCTAATATATTTACATATACAGTAATCTTCCAGACTTTTTGATAAAAAATCAAATACAATTTTTCATGGAAGTAAATAACTTTATTCTGTAATGTACTGTTCACTTTGATCAATTACTTTTTGTCATCTTTCAAGCTACACCATTATCCCACTTTCATACAACTCCTGGTTTCTATTAGCAAGAAACTGAATCACGTGCAATTTGACACCACCATGAACGTTGAATTGTTTACCATTCGAAAAGTATTGTTAAGATCGAAACAAAATTAATCAGACGGTCAAGACTGTATGGTGAATATGACAAAGCATTTCAAAAAATATCCAATAATTTTTGCCTAGTGGCCTAGTGATATATGATGTCAATAATGGAAAAAATCTCTGTTTTGATTTGTTTAGTTTCATTATTTGGTCAGTGTAGACATTAGAATTGATTATTCAGTTAGATGGTAAGAGTAAAAATAGACAATTTATCATTTTTGAGTGAAAAATTACCAGAACGAAATTTGGCAAACCAATTTTGATACTGCCGTTTTTTAAAGCTTTGTCGCCATAAACAGCTCATAACTTTTTTGAGCTTAAGGGGCACAACTAGTGTGAAACTTAAAAAAAATTCAATTTTCCATATTTCGATAGGTTATACCTTTAAAAATAACATATCAAAATTTTAAATCGATATCTTAAATAGTTTTTGAGTTACAGCCATTTAAAGAGTATATATATAGTATATAGTGTAACGATTATTTTATCTTCAAACGCGTTTTTCTCGAAACAGCATTTTCCGAATTTGCTGCAGCGATTACTCAAAAACAAATGATCCGATCACTATCAATTTTTTTTACATGTTCTATATATAGTTCTCCCTAAAAAGAACTATTGATTTTTTGATCGGATCAAAAATCAAATTTTGGCAGTCTAAAAACGACCAAAATTTTGGGTAAAATTCGACTTTTTTTTAAACGCCGCCATTTTGTTAATTTTTGATTTTTTTTGTTTTGTCGTAGGTCATTTTACAGACAATATTATCTAGTTTAATGAGATTTTTTTTTAAATTTCATCCACGTAGAGGGCCGGAATCACTGCAGCAGTGAAGGGCCTTTTTTTTCGTGCCGTTGGAGATCGATAATAACTTAAAAGAATTTTTTTCTTCAAAAACTTTACTATGTATTCTTAAAATATGTGTAAATGTATTCTTAAAATTTTGAAATGATTGATAAAGTATTTTTTTAATATAAATTCCAAAAAATCATCTTTTTTAGGCGGCGCCCCTTAAGATGCTTTTTTGCCTTTGGAGAAATTGAAAGCATATATTTAGTTTTGATTTTCTTTAAACGAACGTCAAACGCAAAACTACACAATCAACCAAAACACTCATTTTTGCTAATGGACATCTAAATTGTCCACTATCACAAGTGGACTAAATTGTCCATTAACCCGAAGTATTTTACATTTGAACTGCGTCAGCAAACCTAAATATTCAATTAAATAATTTTGCATAAATTCGATTATCCTTTTTTTCAAAGTATGTATTGTTATCAAATTCGACAAAAAAATCTGTAATAAAGTATTAATGTTTTTTCAGTAAATATTTATATCACATGCACCAAACTAAAAAAAAATGATAAAAAACAACCCTTACAATTTAGCTTCATGAAAACTGCTCGTACTGTTTACAGACCCTTCTACTTCTCACAAAAGTACACCAATATTCATTATGTTTGTACATCCAATATCGTCGCACGCTAGGCACACTGACGAGATTTTTATGAAGATTATGAGAAGATAGATTTCAGTGTCTCGGCGGTAATTGCGATTTTATTTTAATTCGTTCCAGAAAACGAAGAAAAATAATAAATCCATTCTCGGGCAGGTACACATATATTATCACGATTATCGGGATAACGCAAAGAGATAAAAGACAGAAAAACAGAAAAGGATATTGTTTCACATCTGGCGGTGTGGGCATTCTTCGATACGGGCCGACCGATATCGCGTGCGTGCTCCTAATTAGTTATGGGTACGACAGAGGCCGTAATGGATGACAATTAGTCAACTGCGTGTAGTCTGTAGTCGTCTTACTCGATGATTATTTATACTGCGAATGTCGTCGGCAATTTAAAAAATGGGCCCAATTCTTATGCGTACTTTTTATAATAATTGGTAAATTATTGGAATAAATATATACTCTCACAAAGCGGCTGGTAATATTTATCATTTTCGAATACTGTTTAGTTTAGTCAGAAAATTTACAAACACAAATTTAGACAAGAAATTTATCCCACGTTGTTTGGGAATAATGAGCTTTTAAGTGTAACCTAGATTTTGGTGAAACTGTGACCATTTCTTGGTTATTCTGGTTCATTTTTAACTTCCCGTAGGGTAAGTTATAGTAATCGCAAAAAAATCGAAAATGAAATTTTTTATATACCTTTACGTTTCAGAGGTTTTTGAACATTTTGGCATACCTTAGAAGAAATGGATGTATGTGTGTGTGTGTGTGCGGGTACAAATTTTCGTCGACGATTTTGGGAACACGGTTCAACCGTGATTTCGATTATTCAAAAAACATTCGATTGCTGTTGATAAGGAGACGTGCTGATCAGTTTTTGGCATAAGCATGTCTAGCCGTTTCGAAGATACGGGGCAAAACGTGCCACAAACGGTAACTCAGTTTTTAAGAGAACGGAGCGTCCGATTTTAATAATTCAAATAACATTTTACTTTTGTTGATCATATGAAGAATTGATCAAATTTTCATGAAGGCAGGTCTAGCGGTTTCGGAAATCCAGTGAAAAAAGTAAAAATGTTACATGTTAAAAGTAAAATGCCATTTGGCCTAAGTTATCAAGAATTAAGTCTTTTTGTTGAGCTATGAATTCAATTTTTTTAAAATGGATCGACTTTGAGAGGCGCTTTTTCAGGAAAAATTTAATAAAATGTGGTGGCAAGTTTCATAAGAATTTAATTTGCGCATTTAATCAGGTTTTTAAAATGGTAAAATAATTGATAATTTTAAAAACCGAAAAAGTCCCATAATTACTAACAAACTCAAATGTTTTTGTTTCGCATAAGCTCTTTGAGATTTTCTAATTTTTTCTTTAATGAAACACGTATAATATTAAACTAAGGCGTGTAGTCGTGTTATTGATGATTTTGAAAAAGAAGCTTTCCGCATAATTGCCATAATAAATAGACATCGCTTTAGTTTACTTTGATACGCATTTCGCACCGGACTATATACTAATGCTACGCCTCTACGTGATATTTAATTTTTCTTTCAAGAGAACACGGGTAACATTAATCTCTATATAAATTGGATATCCATCCCTCCATTAAATGTCCACTGGACGGCGAAATCTCTCACGCGACTTTTAATTTTCATTTTTGTTTTAAGCTTTCATTTGTTTCATTTTCATTTAACCCCTTCATAATACGACTTTTTATGTTATTTTTTCATATATTCCTTTTGTTTTCCCAGATAAATAGGAATTTTTGGGTAGTACATTTAATATTGTTAAGTCAATCATTTTAATTTATATCAATCAAGTTAAAATGTGGAACAAAAAAATTAGATCATGAAATACGATATATCGATTTCTGGTTATGCCGAGTACAGTTTCGACTTTATTATAACCCTATCACCAGCTGCCCCTTACAATAGATCCCCAATTATATGAAGTAGTTACTCACTTTTTTTTTCATAATAAATGCAAATTATTTTTTTATCTTCTAAACTACTTTAAATTTCAACAACTCATAATGCATGCAAAATCGTTTTTTGTGAAGATAGCAAAGAATGTATTCAATAAAATTATTCAGAGATCTCTCTTGAAAACAACAAGACGCGCTTTTGAATTTCAAGTACCAATATCAGCAATAAACTTCTTATTCGATATATTTGTTTTATATAGTTGACTTAGAACCCGAATTTATTATTTAAATTTTCTGGGCTTATGTTTTTATCTATAGTATATATCAAAAAATAAATTAACCTTTATAATTCATATAAATTTTGAGGATGTTTATTGATGACTATATATGATACAAATTGATGTCACTATTTAGAGAACTTACAAATACCAAATATTATAATTCATTTACAAATACCGAATAATTAATATTTATATAAAAAAAACTAGCAAACCGGGCAAACTCCGTTTCACCACCGGATGGTTTCATTTTATGTAACATTTTGTTTGGTGATTAAGAGATGAACAAAAAAATTGTCTGCTGTTGAAATTGAAAAAAAATTTGACAATACACGTGATTGATTTGATGGTTTCTAATTGAAATGTTAGGAAACGAATAACTTATTTTTTTACATTTTTTGCACAATTCCACAGTGAACACAATGCCGGTTTGTCACATGAAATTAACTGAGCAGAGATCAAAAGATTCGACTTATTAGAAATTTTGTTTAAAAAAATAATTAAAAAGTGCAATTATTGTTTTTGATCTAAATTTATTTACGTAAAATTTATTACTATTAGTGAGTCGCAATATTTATGGTCACGGCGGCTTACACAGTTTGTGGTCCAATAAATTTGTCTTTAGATGTCGCTTACGCACACGTGGTGTGTAAGCACATTTCAAATGTGGTTTGTGAGTCTATGCATATTTTGAGTACTTCGACTACGTGTATATTTTTTATGTGTCATAATTTAGTATTTATGAGTACGTACAAATGACTACATGCATATAGGTCGATGTAAATGTATTTGCAAGCAAAAACAGCAGCTGCAAGCAGCCTGTCAATGAGTCCGCTATCGAGATGCTACTCTGCATCATCGGTCGCGAGATGAGAGCCCAAGGGTTGATTTGTGCGGAAGAGAAAACCGATCAACGAGTAACCGATGACGTATATAATAACACAAATCAGGACCTTGGCCGATGCTTTGATTTACAAAAGAAGTAACGAGAATGGATGACTTCATGCTTTCGTTTCGTTTTCTTCTTATGATGCTCTTTTGTGTTGATCGCATTCGCACTTGTGCGTGGTCGAGTACGAGATGGCACACGATGAACTATGAAATATCGGGACGCAGATGCTATCCCTGTTCTTGCGATTGCGACTCGCAACAGATACCCGCGTACCGGCCGGATATTAAATACGAATACGCACAACACCACCGCCCCTCTAAATGCGTGAGGGTCGCTGACCCGTACCTTTGACTTATTGTTAGCATTCTGATTTCGAATAATGTTCGTTCCTTTTACCATACAAATAATAAAAAAATAGTTTTAGAAGTTGAAATAGTTGAAAACTCGTCAAATTATAATCATTCTATAATATGTACAATTAAGGTGACCATATTTTAACATAAGTCAAAATCGGGATGGCAGTTTTCAGTTATGCTAATCCGGGACGGGAAGTATATAATAACAGTTTTTTTATATAAATCTTTTTTTATAATAATTGCGGACTTTTAGTAAGGACTTATTATTTTGATTTATTATTCGATTATATGTCATACTTTTTCATCTATGATCTTATATGGATTTATATGTTTTTCGCGCTTTTGAGCCTTGTATAATATTCTATACTATTTTGTTAATAAATATTTTGAAAAAAATAGCACTTGTTCGTTTGTTTTCATAATTATTGTTAATTCTTCTGTTAATTTTTGAAAAACCGGGACAATCCGGGACAAAAGATCTAAATCCGGTACAAATCATGCTTTTAAAATAACGCGGGACACAAGGTGGAAATCCGGGACTATCCCGCCCAATCCGGGACGTATGGTCACCTTAGTATAATAAATGCAATAGGTATATGATATAGTATTTCATTTCCTTTCTTGGCGTAACGGTTTACCGCGCTTCCTCGTGTGGGCGGGTTTCCAAGTTCATGCCCCGGCTCTGGCAACCTGATTTCGTTCATGTCCATTTTCACTTGAAAATATAGATCAAAATTATGTTTTCAATTAGCCCATTCTGAACACTGCGATGTGAAATGGTAATGGAAAACCTCTCACACTATTCTTCCCTGAATCGAGTTGGTGCTTAACTCGGCTCACTGACCTACCCTAGGGTAGTACTACCCATTATTTAATACAATAATACTTCATTTTACGAGATATTATTATTTTATAATAATATTTTAACGTAACGTAATGTAAATCTTATCATTTTTAAGATGGTAATAATTGATTTTATTATATTGCAATTCAATCAGTATTTATAATATTTTTGAATTTGGTTTACAGCGACACGAGAAATATTTTTAATAATAAGATATCGTTTGCCCCTCAGCGCGTTAACGTAGACTGTCGAACTTTCTCATAACTCCCTACACAGACGTTACGAACTTCAATATTCAAATTCTTACAAGTTTTTGATATAGGAAATAACATTCAAGTGCAACTATATATATATATATATATATATATATATATATATATATATAGGGTAGGGTGAGACAAAAAGGTCCGATTTGACTTTCAGTAATTACTGCCTAAACTAAATGAACCAGTTCACACCTAATTATAGAAATATGTTTTTTTTTTCTATTTTTCTAAAATTTATCATTTGTCCTTTTTTCTCCGTATGCGGGGTAAGAAGGGTCAGAAGGAAATTTTATATAGTAACACTAAAAAATTCTATACTTGTTTTTAAGATAATGATGGTGGACCTTTTTACCCGCGTATCTCTAAACCATGTTCCACCCAACATATATGCGTTATAGAATGATAAATTACTCTATTTTTGTTCAATTTTTCTATCTTTTGATTTTGTTTTTAAAGTTAATTTAATTTTCGAGTAATTTTCTGGGCAACCTTTAAATATCAGATTATCATTTCATATCGTCACTTAATATTGTAAAAAACGATTTTATGTTTATTTAATATGGGTAAGTTTATCACATTCATTTTTTTCTATACCCTTCGAAAGAAAAAAAATACAAAAAAGCTTTTTTTTAATGTTTACCCTTGCAAATCCATTCAAATTTTGACACGCACCCTTATATTTACATTTGATCACATGCATAAAAAAATAAAACATTGCCGACGTCACTCAAAAAATGAATACGTTCGTTTTCCTGCGTGATCGCAAAGAAAAGAAGCGCAATTATGAAACAATAACATTACAATTCATTGGGTAGGTAATAATGCACGCTATACCATATTTCTTTTTTGTTATTGGACGTTGAAAAAATACACACCCTGAGCGAGTGAACGCCTTTTTTACAGGGTTTAGAAAAAACTACCCCGCACCGTCGCGGTCCTTGCACATAAAAAAACTCGTGGGGGATAAAAGAAGCATAGAGAAAAAAAAGATGAAAAAAATCCATACCCTCATTTGTTCCGGCGCATTAGTTATGGGTGGAGCTATGTTCAGAGAATTATTAAAATGGCTTTTTTATGAACTAGTTGAATTATACTTGTGGATTTTTTCTCTGTGTTATATGAAAGTTTTTATTAGAGCCGGCCGGAGACAGATGCGACCTGTGCCCCAAACAGCTCCCACGCTGAACCCTAATAAAAAAAATTGTTTAAAAATTACCCTAATTATACTGTATCTGAGTCAAAAATAGTGGCATATTCATTATAATAAAATGTATTAGACATTTACGAAAAACAACAAATTTGCTATATTATCAATAAATATTATATATTTTTGTTGAACATATTTCGCTCATTTACGGTTTGTGGTGTTTAACAGTGTGTTTGTTTCAATGAAGCAAACACAATTATTTCAGAATAATTCAGATAAAGTTTATTGAAAAAATCTTCGAAATATGTTACTAATAAAACCCAGATATGGTCGATAATCTTGAAATTATATAAATTATATATGACGATATGACACTATATTTGATCATGCGATCCAATTATGATTCAAAAAAGTTTCGCGCTTTATAATAATAATAATAATAATAATAATAATAATAATAATAATAATAATAATAATAATGAATCAATCATCTGCTTTCTTCCTCTTCTAAAACAATATAAAAAATATTGGTAATGTTTTAATACTTTTCTCTTTAAATACAGTTATAAATGTTAATTTTCGAGAGTAAATAATTAATCAAAAATATTGTTTTATAGGTTTACATTTTCTATACTTGTCTCCCGTTTTACATGTTTTCGAAATTCATTCGTTTTGCATTTGCACGAAATTATAAATATCTAAACTGTGATTTTCTTATATTTTCAATAACATTTTTATTTTTTTATTGTAAAAATATTTTTCTGCCAAAATACAACACTACAAAATGTATGTTACAGTTACGAATTCTTAGTATGGATAGAAATATGTAGATAAGATGGGATCGCCCCGCTATATGATCAAAACTAAATTTTAGATGTGTATGAGCTAGTTTGTTTGAAATACCAAAACAAATAGAATCATTGTTTTTTAACATTGTTTTATTACTGGCAAAAAGGGTCTTTTTTATAGTAATTTTTGATTAGCACGGTTTATTGAAATTGGAACCTTCCGTGTAAACGGGTAGGTGTATATTATTTTGCGTTTCTATATTGTAATTATTATGATGTACTTACAAAATTGTTGATGAAAACGTGTAAGAGTCGCTCGAAATAAATGTTTGAAGTTTAACATTAGTTTTAGAAATTTAAAATATTTGTATTATTTTGTATCCTTTCTCTCTCTCTCTCTCTCTCCTCTTTCTCTATGAATATATACATAAAGAATAGCCTAATTTAATAATTTTGTTATGAAATATGTTAATAAATATCACAAAGATACAAAAAGCAGAACAAATAACATATGCAATTGTAAAAGGGTAAAAAGAGCAATGAGATAAATTATAGCTTTCGGCTTATGGTGCGCGCAAATAGTACGTGTTATAGAAATCTTTGGACCCGCTAGTAAACATGATCTAAAAATACGCCAAGCGGCTAAGAATGCAGTTCTGCTCCTCTCCTTGTGGATGTACGCGCTCCTACGCAAAGGGAAGGCAAGGTTCAGGCGCGTACACTGCACTGGTTCGCTAGATAATTCATACAACGCTCAAGAACATTGACCATACGAAAATTCATCATCCTGCACCTCTACCTCCCTCCTTTCTCGCCTGATTACACTGCACCAGATAAATGGCTCAATTTTTACTTGAATATATAATAATTGATAAATCCTGATTTGTTTGAATATAATTAATTGATAAATTCTGGATATTTTAATATATTGATTTATGTTTCTTTTCCGAATAGTTAATCCAATAAACAGGAAACTAATTTTTCTGTATATGTTTAATTACGACGTTTCCTGACTTGATACGTTTCATCAGAAGTTTTTTTTTTTGTCAAAACTTTTTTTTCAAGAAATAATAATATTGATGATGTTTATTAAAGAAAAGAAAGAAAAGAATATTAAAAAACTTATGGATTTTTTTCTTAAATAAAATTTTCATTACAACCATTTACCAAGTCTAGTGAAGTCAACATTTTCAATTATTCTTCGATTTTTTTTACAAGTTATAATGCATGCTTTATAAGTTTTTTTAATATTCTGTAATAATTATCATCGATATTGTTATTTTATAAAAAAATGCTTTCAACAAAAGACCTGATAGAACATATCTAGCTTCAAAACGTCGTAATTAAATACTTGCTGAAAATAAGTTTCTAAATAATTTAATTACAATGAAAACCTTAGTTATATAAAAATAGATAATAGAAAACCTATTTTTTGAACGTTATCAATTTTGAAATAAATCGTAAAAGTGCACGAATCCAATCAATGGACTAGATTGAAATATTTTTTAACTGATAATTTAAAAAACATGAAATCTATTCGGTGATTGATTTTACAACTCTCTTCAATATTTTCCTACTGTTTATTTGTTCTTTTCGCATACGCTAAGTCAGCAAGGTAAGGCGCCTTATGCATTGTTTTTTATTATTTATTGCACATAAAAAATAAATGATAAATTTAAAAAAAAAAACGAAGAATGACAAAAGAACAGGCTCCGAGATAGGCGCGCTTTTCTCCCATTAGTCGAGAGAGCCTCAACGCGTTCCGTCCGACGACGACATACCCGGTATCGTGCAAAAAGTATGAAGCCTCGCATTTGCTATTACATAGAGCTCGGCGCATAGACGGACAACGGGCTCTTGCACGGAACTCTGGACTATATTCATTTTATGATTCATAAAGGCAGGACGATGCATGTTTATTATATATATTTGCAATAAGGTTATTGAACTCCTGAGCTCCATGTCTCTCGGATGATACTACATACTCTATATTTTTGCTTTTGTCGAGTGCGTGAGGATTATTTTTTCTCGAATTAATATAATATAATAAAATTGTATAATTATTAATTTATTTATACTTTTTGTTATCTTAAGTCAAGTGTTTATATGCTGAGAGAAATCGCATTTTTTATTTTGATAGCATCAAAAATATTTCATAAAAGATAACAGTTTTTCATTATAACCATTTTTTAAGTAACTCATGATCATTTTATAGGTAAATTACATTAATTATCTATAGTCATATAAAAGTTAAAAGTTTTTTTATTAAGATATCTACATATATATAAATAAGCCGGGTTTTCCTTCCTGACGATTTAACGCCAGAACGCACGAACCGATTTCGACAATTTTGCATTCGTTGGAAAGGTCTCGAGCTCCGCAAGGTTTATAGCTAAGAAAAGTGGTGCATGGCATTGTGCCATTTAGAAAATCATTGTTTTTCACATGGGCAGTTACACGTTGCCTGCTCACGAGTTAGTAAACCATCCGCTTTGTTTGTGTTAACATCAGACCAAAAAACAAAAAATGTGCTTTACCAAAAGCACTTCAATGAAACGGATAATTTGCGGATTCACTTCCATTTACTTAGAGAAGTTCAATTAAAAAACACTTCATTTTTGTAATCGAAATAAATTCATTACTGTTGTGCAATGAAATCATTTTTTTCCTTTTCAAATATAAAACAAACAATAAATTTCTTCATCTTCCTCACTAAACTATCTGGTGGCGAAACGGAGTTCGTCAGGTTTGCTAGTTATTTATAAAATTTTATATAAAATTATTATATAAAATCATCGATCTTTCATTATGGTATTTGTAGTTTATATTTATTTTGTTGCTAAATATATTGGTTTTCGATTTTAGGAGCTCCAGCTGCATCTCGGCGTGCTGCAGCAGCATGCGGCGTTGATCGGCGGCCCTAACGCCACGTCGTGCCCGATATGCCATAAGTTATTCTTGGGTGGTGAGGCATTAATGGAACATATGAAACATACGCATAAAGATCCGAATGCGTCCGGAGTAGCCAGTAAGTATAATAGACTCGTTGTTCTGCATGCTACCATCCGATTTCTATTATAGTATTTTCCGCGTTTATTGAAAGATATCGTAAAGTTGATGAAGAACGTTAAAATCGTCCCTTTTGTCCATATAGTATGTGATGCCTATATCTTTCACAATTCATTTCGAACGTAAATTGTCGTTTTTTGCATATGAACTGTTTAGGTCTTTTTTCCGAGATTTTTTTTGTATCGAAAATATAAGTAACTTGTCGTTTACAACATACGATATCTTTTTGGAAAGTTATTTGTTCATACAGACTGTTTTCATTTTGCTTGTAGTGATTTTGTTCTTTCTATTTTATAAATCTAACATTATTCTAATATCTTTTTATTTATTTTTGTTATAATTTTATTTTCATAAAAATTGTAAAATTAAGCACGACGGGATTGTGAGCAACTTTCTCTCTCAGAAACATACAGCATATTTATTTTATGAACATTTGGTTGTGGTATCTCAATTATAGATTAAGTGCTTATTGCTATTGGATTGGTTTTTCCTTCTATGTGTGGTTAATTGTGTTTCATGGAAATAATGAATTATTACACTATGAAATATATTAAACATGATTCTTGATTCTTTTGCTTCTGTCATTTGACATGTTATTCTTATTTCAAGAAGCGCGAAGAAAAAAAAGAGCCGATTTATAAATGTGCATTTAATTTTCTATCAACCAATGCATTTTTATTAAAAAACAATTGTATTATATTTTCAAATTTTAATATTTTCAATGCGAAATATTTTCTGGTTATATTATTACAGTAACAGATAATTTTTTTTGCATATAATTAACCAGCTTTATATTTTTAACCATAAACGAATTAGATGAAAATACGACAAAATAGAATAAAAACTTGTTCAAGTTGGCTCTTGGCTCACTAATCCGTAATTATAAAAATGATAGTTTTATTTAAATAATTCAGAAGAACCAGTGTTTTGCATGTATCACTTGTGTCTTTTGTGTGTCGTCGTTGTCTTGTGTACTGTGTCTATTTACTATTGGGGGCTTCATCACGCATTGACCAAACTGTTTCTTCGCTTATTCCCAACTGACCCGTACCTAGCAAAGCGACGCACAGCAAACCACCCTTGCCCAGTGTGCGGCAAGCATTATGTCAATGAAGGTTCGCTGAGGAAACATCTAGCCTGCCATCCCGAAACCTCACAGCTGAGTACATCACTTAGGATGTGGCCGTGTTCTGTTTGCCAGGCTGTCTTTACGCACGAGTCAGGTGAGAAAACGAATAAATTCGCATTTAAATCCGTTTATAAATAACCAAAGTCATAAACTCAATTAAATATATTAAATTTAAACTGATTTAAATTAATTTAATAGTAATATATTAATTTATTATTTAAATTAATTAAATTATGAATTAATTAAATTTAATAATAATATATAATTAACCTTATATATTAATCACATTCATTTCATATGCTGAATTTTTCTGAAATAATTAATCTAATTAGTCTAAATAAATGTATATGAACTATCTATAAAAGTGAATTCTACAACACTATACGTACTTTTACAATACGTACATTTATAAATATTTCTATTAAATTTTCATTACTAATTTGAAAAACTTTGTTTAAAGCTGAATTGTATCACATTATATATTTGAGTTAAATTTAACCAATTGAATAAATAAGCTGTGCAAAAATGACAAAGCAGAATAGAGTATTAAATATCAATATAACAAAAACATATTTATTAAAAAACGATTTTATCATTCAGAAAAAATATCATTCATACACTTAAAATATGCTGTATTCGATAATTATATTGGTGAAACAAAATAATTAACAACTTTTAAATAAAGTAATTATAGATATCATAAAAATATTATTTAACTCTAGAATATAAAAGATAGACAAAATTTATGGTTCAAAGGTAAAAAGTTTTAAATTCAATATAATTCCTAAACTAAGTATTATAAATTTTTAGGTCTTTTAACACACATGGAGCATATGCGGATGGATCCTAAACATCAGTTCGCCGCGCAGTACGTACTGTCTCGAGCCGCAGCAGAGAGGCGAGAACGGGAATCTCTTATAGCGGCTGCAGTTTCAGCATCTGGCTCCGGTTTATTGGGATTAGGGGGCGGAGGTGCATCAATGTGTGCATCACCATCAGCCCACTCCGACAGTTCCTCAGGTGGAGGCCGGCTTTCCTCAGCAGGCTCTGACCCGGGGGCGGTAGGAATGCTCAATAACAATAACAACAATTGCACAAGCAGCAAGCTCAGCGATATACTACGGGCAGGGAACAACGGACATTTACACCAACAATACGGTGTCGAAGATCTGCACAATGTCAATCGTATGGCCGTAATGGCCGCAGCGGCAAACGTTGCAGGTGGTGTTGACTCAAGCACGGCAGCTGCTGTACAAGCTGCGGCAGCTAATCTTGCCATTGCAATGCGAATGAACGCTGCTTCAACAGTCAACAATGGTGCTGTCGGTCCTTCAGGAACGCCTCCAGGAGGTGCAGAAGCTGCTATGATGACTGCGATGCGAGCATCCATGGATTCTATGAGAAATAGTATGGTAGAACAAATGCATCCTCACGCACATGTGCATCATCAGCAGCATCAGCACCCGCACGCACACGCACAACCGTCACCCGAAGCCGCGGCGATACGTATGCAACAAGCTGAAGCTATTCTGAGGCAACAAGCGGACGCGGCACTACGCCTCGCAGTCACGCAAGCTGCTGCAGCTGCTGTCAATAATGGTAATGAGGCAGCACGAAACCATAATGGAGCAGCTTCTGGTGCCGGAACGTATCACTTGCAGCAAACAGGAGGTGGTACAACTCCTGGTACTCAGGGAAATCCAGCACAACAACCTACGCAACAACAAACGCAGCAACAGCAACAAGCCTCGCAACAGCAGCAATTATCACCAGATTTATCAGAAGCGTTGCGCCTACAAGAACAACGACTGGAGCAAGCGCTCCGCTTGCATGGAGGTGACCCACGAGCGTTAGGATTTTCCCTAAGTTCGCACGGACACACACCACAACAGCATCATTCGAATCCATGAAACTTCACGTATTTCTGAGGTTTGGAGGAGGAGGGGAATGAAGGTGTGTTTATACCTAATGCCGACTAGACTAATAGATAATAGAGTTATGTTGATCACGGATGAGTGATATTTAGAATAGTTTTATATATTTAAATATATACATACGTGCATATATATACATATCATATATATGTATATGCGTATATGTGTATATATGCATTTTAAGCGCATATATATATATATATATATATATATATATATATATATATATACATATATATGTAGCGGTAGGTCATGGCAATAAAAACGCCTAACGATGCAAGTTATTAACTTTTTCTAAGGCGCTTGCATCGTTCGGTTGGCAATGATGAGATAATGAATTAGTGTAATAGCCATGCTCTACTGATATATTTGTAAATGTTAATTAAGCTAGTATGTACGAATAATGATAACAGACTATTGTGTGCAGTGTGCATTTATAAAATATTTTAAATCGAATCCGTCAATTAAAGCCAATCGATGACAGATGATGAAACTTTTAACTAATTATTTGATTATATAAACGAATATCATCGTCATCGAATGGATATTTGTTCGGATATGAACCGGCAATGATGATTCTGTGATCGGGAATATAGTTTAATTCAAATTGAATAAGTCTGTTATGTTCGTGGATGCGTGTTCGTACGCGTCAGAAAATAATTTCGATATAAAAATTACCCAGTCAAATTATTTGCAATTTTTAGAAAAAAAAAAACAAATCGAACATTTAATGGAATTTAGGTGAAATAAAGGTCGTATTGATCATAAATACGATTGTGATTTATATAATATTAAATTAGGCTTAACAAAATTGGCATTTAAAACGTACAAATACAAGTAATCTAAAAACTGAAATGGTCGCTGACAGGTTTTTAGAAGTCGCGAGAACGAATGTGGCGACACCGTATGTGGTGTATTGTGAAAGTGGCGTCTGCTATGAGAATGCTAGAGAGATAGAGAATGAATGTGTGAGAGCTTTGTACCCCGCCTTGTTCCCATCCCGATACCCTTTAATGGTTAGCAAAGACGCTTACCTGATCCGGTGTTGAACCGGATTCAGATGGTGTAAACCACCCACCATTGTCGCGTGTATGATTTTAAAATACATGCACGTGCGTCTTCTGTATTCTAGTGTTATATTAATTATTCACGATGAAATTGTGTTAATAATCCGCGTGATAATATTCTAATTATAATGTAATCACAGAATCAGGTGCTAGGTGAAATTACAGTGTCTCTAAATTGTTTCAAGACAAAAAAGAAAGACAAAATTGATCGATTGATAAATAAAAACAAAATTTAAAGTTTTGAAAACGTTAATAAGTAAAATGAAATTTTGGTTTTCAAAGTTCTAGACACAGTTTTTGCCATTACCTGTACTATAAGTTATTTGCCATATTATTATTTAACGCTACACACAAGCCATAAACCATTGTACAAACATTTCCCCGCCTCCCGTGCGACCGTTCAATATTTCACGATCTCTGACCTCCGAAGTCACGTGAGCGCGGATAATTCAACGATCGCTTCTGCATGAATATTTCTAGATTACCGATTAACCATAAATTACAATAGTCATACAATATATCGATATTACAATAATCATAGTTGCAATAGCCCAATACGCACGCCACGGTTCGACTTGCTTGAGCCTGGCTGCGTAGCTACACTCAACAATTAACCAATCAAAACAATGACCGATCACACAAAACTAGCGACCGTGCGACAAGCATAAGTTAGCGCACGGTTCGTCACCAGACTTGGCAAAATACCGGAGGCGACAGTCCATTTGATTCAATTCAACATTCAGCAATTTACAATAGCCCAATGCGCGACGCGTTTCACGCGTCCGTACACACGTCTCAATATAATCAACTGACCATACTTTGCAATAGCCCGGCAAACATTACTTTGTACCGAACATAGACCGAGTACGAGTACCACAGCCCGACCGAACGCATTACCAAATACGTTTCAGTCCGGACAATGACCACTGCAATAGCCCGAACCGTGCATAATGATTCTCTTATGCCAAACCCATGCATATTATATATTACACACACACATCCCATCACACACGAAGCTCTAAGAGCCGCAATAGCCCAATGCGAGATATGTATCTCGTCAAATCACATGACAGCCCGACATTTATACCGAATGTATAAAACATTTAAAAAAAACTAAATCAGTTGCAATAGCCCAAAATGCGCTCACGCGCATCTCAACTTCAAGTTCCCATTGGTACTTTTACGCCATCATTGTTTACCCACGGGCCGATCGAATTCGTAGCGAGCAATAGTATACGGACACGACCGGCCCGACATAATTTTTATCACAAAACACTAACAGTATAAGATTCATTTTACAGTAATGCAATAGCCCAAACGCATAATGTACACTCTTATGCCACACAAACGTTTTGATGCCCATAGATTTATTTGTTTCCGGTACGCGTACAACGCGCGTAGCGTTTTTTGTCACCGCGGAGCAGTCCTCGTCACCATTTAAGGCTACGAGATTTCTGCTACGTAGTGACATGCAAGTACACTCGCTCATACACACTTTCACACACGTACACACACTATTACATACAAAGAGCAGACACGCCACACGTTCACACGAAATACACGTTCACATGCTGCACGATACATGCTCAAATTTAAAGATTACTGAATTTACGCCACGGTTTACTAAGACTAATTAACTACTTCACAAAGCACATGACTTCACATAACCACACACAACACACTCTCCGCGTCACGGAAAGTGACGATGAGAATGCCCTCGACGTATTTGTCAACCTCTTTGTCTGGTATATACTACTTGATAACAAAATCCAAAGTCCAACCAACGAATGACCTGTCGACGGATCAAACGATTCACTTTGAGATCAAAATTCGAAATTCGATATTTTGGAAAAATACGAATCTAACAAAATTTAACACAATTTCAAATACGTGAAATGCAGCCCATTGCCAAAGTGCGATGGGGAGGAATATTTCAAATAAGTAAATAAGGTTTTCTGTTCGTACACATGTTGTGACATCTGTTAAGTTTAGTTGTATTGCGAGCAGTAAGCGTGCGGCTCTCTACGAGGCATTCGGTTCAGTCCGCGTGTACTCTTCGAGGCTCCACCGCATGCGATGCTCGTTACTGGTTCCTTTACAGGAGTATTATTCGTTGATCGTCTGGTACATTATTTGTATAAGGGGGCGATTGATGGCTTTCGAGGTAACGCGTTCAGGTTAAACGCTGCACGAACTTTATAACATTAAAGTTATAGTTATTGGCAATATATGCGAAAATCTGTATTTCACTTACAATTAGTATGATTTCACAATAGCATATATATCGTGCACTGGTTATAGCGCCTGGTCAAAACCCAGTCGTGTATACCAGACTTAATGTTTTAGTTTAACAATAATAATAACAATAACAATAGAACAATGTAAGTAGTTTTTAGCAATTGCATCATATGTCTTAGAGTAGTTTCGCCAGCAGAACATCAATCCGCACAGCGGTCGATGTCACGCAATATAAATACAGATTTTCAGCACAAAATTAAGGCACGAACCTTTTCGCACTCCAATTTTTATTAAAATCAGCCGGATATCCCGATCTTCGGAACGGGACACATCACCGAAACAAAATTAGCTGATTCGAGTCACAGCCTCGTATGCTTGAAACGCCCTCAACAATATATTCCATATTACTCAATATTACAATTACCGTTATTAACGTTATAGTTTACAGGCATGCTATTATAAAAGCATATTTACCACATTACAAGTCTTACGATATAATATTACAGCTACAGCTTACACGACTGTAACTCTTTAATGTCTCTAATATTAAACCACAATTAAGAATTACCGTTTTAGATTAAAATGTTTGCGAGTGTTTGATATGAATCCCAATAGATCCCCGTGAAAATCGTTTGCAAGAAGCAAGCCTGTGAACCCGAGTGAATGCGAATCCGAAGTGCAGATGACGAATCATAATCGAACCGGCAACGAGTGTTCACATAATGCCTTTTGCCGGCGTTGACTTTATATATTTTTTCATATTTTATAATTATATTTACACATTTGTCGTTAGCGTTAAATATACGATGTTTTGGTGTATATTTTACAATTACATTATTAATATTGTAGAGTAGTGATTTTAGTTTGCCATTGTGTTCGACTGTGTTAAAATTAGGTTATATGCCGCTCGTCGTATCACATTTCCGCAAATCCTGAATCGCCTGTTCAGCGATTTTTCTTCAGTTCACTCGTTATTTAATAATAATAATCGAGCGGGAACTGTTACCGGCCGGGCGGGCGGCTTTCTTACATAGTTTATGTTAGTTATAAGCTGTTGTTTTCGATTTACACTGTTTGCCATTGTTATTGCTTGTGGTAACGTCGCGCGTTGTGACATTCAATAACTTAACTTGTTCATACTTAAATTTGTTACATACGCGACCGTCACTGTTCGATGAGCCATCTGTTTACCCTTCCCTGGAGATGTTTGCTTGAGAATGATTGGGTGTGCTTGGAATGAGCCTAGGCTCACGGGTGCCTGGACTAAACTGCATTTATTCGTTTAGTATTTTGAAATAAGCAACAAGTTTATATTGGTAACTAACAATGCGACCTGAGCGAATACATTTTGGTGTTGAAATGAAATTATTATTATTATAATTTTTGATAAATTTGAATTGGGAAATTCTTGAAAAAATCAAAAAAGAATAACAAAATTAATATTAAGAAGATGAACTTAAATATAGTAATTTGAAAATAAATATGAAATTAAGGGTGTAAAATATAATTGTCACAGTTGGTTAGTATTAATTTAATGAAAAGATAAATTGTTATGTACCAGTGTACGCCAAATTTTAAAAAAACTTATGAAAATATCAATGTATGAAAGATGAAATAAATGAACACAATAATTTCATGTGTATGTAAACAAGTTCAATAATAATAAAGTTGAATACATGTCAAAGTATATTTCTTTTATTCAATTTGCAAGTGATATATTTTTAAGCATAATAATATAATTTTTACGACTGAGTAAATAATGTTAAAAATTAATTTTTTCATCTAGAACCATTTATGCAAGACAGATTTTTCGTCCTTCGCG